TAACATAACTTACATATCGTACATATATAGTATATATTGTATATATACTCCGTATTTAACAATTACTAAAGTCTTAATTCTGATGCGGGCTTCGGCTGCTGCTCCTTTTGGTGATTAGCCTACATCTGACCTCGATGTGCCTGCAATATCGACCCACTGTGGTCGCCTGCTTCTGCATTTATTTGGCCTGCAAATGGTCGCGTTGGGAGATACCGCAATCGACCGAGGGCAAGCACTGGTTCTACTATGTGGACAAGAGCGTATCGCTGGACCTGCTCAAGCAGCTGACGGACGAGTTCATAGCCATTTACGAGAAGAGTCCCGCACGGCTCAAATCGAAGCTCAACTCAATCAAGGCCATTGCACAGGGCGCCAGCAATCGCACGGCCACTGGCAGCAGCAAGGACAACAAGCCGAAAGAAGACTGGAAGCTGAGCGAGATGATGAAGGGCTATCACTCGAATATCACAGCACCGCCAGAGCTGATGAATGGCAACGATAGTCGTGATTCATCGCAATCGGCACTACTGCCACCGCCGGCCATGGTGCCATCGCAGCAGCGACGCAGCGATGGCAGTCATCAGCGGACGTCGTCGGTGGGCTGTGTCCCAGGGAATACGTCCTCTACTACCTCCTCGTCTTCATCGAATCACAAGTTGCCAAACTATCCAGGCGCACTGCCGCCCGAGGCACATGGAGGTGAGTATCGCAGAATTTCAGCTTGCGGCAGCAGCGACATCTCATGAGCCATTTAATCTCACTCTCTTCTCTTCTATGTAGATCACAAGTCGAAGCAACCCGGCTACAGCAGTCGTGCGCCCTCTGGTCATCAGTCGAGCTCGTCGTCGTCGGCGCAGCGCAGCAGCAGCAGCAGCAGCGGCTCCTCCACGAACAGCAGCCAACGCAACTCCTCGAGCCAGCCGTCTGGTCGACCACCCATGCCCATAGACTATCACAAATCATCGCGTGGCATGCCACCCGTAGGCATGCAGACGCACGGTGGCCACAAGATGTCCACAAGTTCCAAGCCCCAGCAGCCACCGCCTCCACTCCTAGACAGTCGTGGCAACACCAGCAGCAGCAACAGTTCATCATCCGCCTCCAATGCGTCAGCAGCAGCCAAAGATGCCAGCAAGTCGTCGTCGTCGTCGAGCGGCAGCAGCAGCAGCAGCAGCAAAATGTATCCTAATGCGCCGCCGTCCTACAGCAGCAGCGGACCCAGCAGCAATCCGCTGATGTCTCGTGGTGGCTACCCAGCGCCGCCTGCTGGCTATGGCTCGCACGGCTCGCATCGCAATAAATCCGTCTCGTCATCAAGCTCATCGTCATCCGTCCACAGCATGCCGCCTTTCGAGCAGCAGCTGCCCTATGGCCAGAGCCAGGCAGTGCCCAGCTACAATCATATGCCGCAGCAGCAGCAGCAGCAGCAGCAGCAGTCGCAATCGCAGTCGCAGTCGCAGTCGCAGCCTCCGCTGGAGTCGCAACAGCTCGGCAAGAACAATTCCCTCTTCAGTCCGGAGTGGAGCGACATCAAGAAGGAGCCGCAATTCAATGGGCTGTTGCCGCCGCCTGCGCCAGGACCTGGCCACGACAGCCTGGGCTATAAGCTGAACAATCATACACGGGATCGGGACAGCCCCAAGAAGGATCGTTTGACGCCGACCAAAAAGGACAAGCATCGCAACACGTTGCCACACGGTAGTGGATCGTCGGGCAGCAGCAGCACCAACGCCTGCAGCAGCAGCAGCTCGACTAAGCCCATGCTGCCGCCGCACAAGAAGAGCCACGGCGACCTCCTGGCTAACGATTCGAGTCGTGACATGGGCAGCTTGAAGCGTGCCAATGAAATCTCTGGGAGTCAATACAACATCAGCAAGCTAGACGATCATGAGGCGGGCAGCATGCCGCGCGACAAAGTGCGCAAGCTGGACAACAGCATGGGACTTCCGGGCTATTCGAACTACCCCGAGGACACCAAGCACGCGCCGTTGTCCATGTCGAACGGTGGCATTGAGACGACGCCTGATTTGGTGCGCACACTGCTCAAGGAGAGCCTCTGCACAACGAATGGCTCGCTGCTGAAGCCTGACGCGTTGACCATGCCCGGTCTGAAACCGCCGGCGGAGCTGTTGGAACCGATGCCGCCAACAAGCCAACAGCACATTAAAAAGGAATCGCTGAGTGCACCGACAAATCTCTTGGGCAACAGCTTGGCAGCAGCGCCTGCCATGGAACTGGATGCTTTGACTAAACTGGGCGAGGGCAAGGATGTAGAGAGTGCTGGAAAGTCAGAGAAGAAGAAGAAGAAGGACAAACACAAACACAAGGAGAAGGACAAGTCGAAGGACAAGCCCGATAAGGAGGAGCGTAAGAAACACAAAAAGGACAAGCAGAAGGAGCGGAGCAGCAAAGACACGTCCATGGACTCACTCAAGCTGGTCATCAAGACCGCCGCCAATCCCAATGGCAGTCTCCAAGTGGGCGCCGCTGCACCGCTCAAGCTGAAGATCAGCAAGAACAAGGTGGAGCCCAACAACTATTCTACCGGAGGTGGACTGATGCCAATGTCAACAGCGTCTGGCTTTGGCATTGCTCCGACGGCGCAGGGAATCACAACTACAGCTGGTCAGCCGATGGGTCTGCCGGGCTATGGCGGCTATAGCTCATCGAACAGCACCAACAGCAGCGCCAACAGTGGAGGCGGTGGCAGCAGCGGCAAAAAGAAGCACAGCGACCGGGATCGGGATAAGGAGAGCAAGAAGAGCAAAACTCAAGACTATGCCAAGTATAATGGAGTCCCTGGCGGCGTGGGTGGTGGCGTCTATGCGCCTCTAGGCGGTGCTGGCGCCGCGTCCAATACGCAGGCCGCCGTTGCCAGTCTGCTTGGTCTGCCACCCAATATGACGACCGCGTCGTCGAACGCCAATTTGAGCTCCAATGCTGCCGTCTCCTCCGCGTCCATGGCGATGGCGCCAGCTGGCGTCTCCACTGGCATTGCACCGACCGCTCTGCCCATTTACAACAAGAAGTAGTCGTAGTCAAAGTAGTCTATAATCCCAATAGCCGCTCCCACATAACTTTATATTCTTTGGAAGCCCAAACAACTTTACCCTCGATATAGTTTATATGTAATGTAATACGGTAGTCGTAATTGTTGGTGAGATGATGATGATGATGATGCATTAGTTGGCTAAGTTATTAATTGAACTATACTTTAGTTAAGCCCAAAACCCACAACTGAATCGCAAACGCAATCGCAATTAGGTTCGTTGTGTTCAACACATAATGATAATCAACAAAATGAAAAACTCGGAAGACAACAAACTTCAAAAAAAACAAATAATAATAATAATAAGAAGAAAATGAAACGTCTGTACAGCATTAATTAATTTTTAATTCTAACACACAAACACACGCATACATACATATATACACACACACACAAACATGTAATTGTAAAAAGAGAAGCAAATCCTTTCGATTGCAAATAGAGCGTGAGCACGGCCGTTTAGTCTGTAAGTTAGTAAATCAAATACCCATACATAAGCATAAATACACACACACACACTTGCACTCACACACGTACACAAATATATTTATATATATATATATTGAACTGTTGTAAATAGCCACAAGAGAAATAACTTCCGCTTAGCTAAAAACAAATAATAATACGGCCCTAACTAATGCAAATAAAATGCAAGCATGCGAGAAAAAAGAAAACAGAAAATTTGAATCGAAAATTTTGTGAAAAGTAATTTGTGTAAAGTCGAGAGCCGCGCACTTTAATTATAAATTGAAGAGCAAAGCAAAATGATAAAAACCAATTTAGAAATCACAAACAAAAGCAGTTATAAGAAGAAAACTACATAGAATATTAATTAAATACATACACACCTAAATTATTTGAATTAAATAATAGTATATATATATATACATACATATATATAAAAGAAAAACAAAAGTGAATGCCGTTAAAAATTGTGTGAAATTAAGTTTTAGTTAGCCAAGTTTTTCGTTTTTTTATTATTATTATTTCTATCTTTTACAACAATGAATTCGTTTAATTTTTTTAATTTTACAACAAAAACTAGCAGCTAAAGAATAATAAAAAAAAAAGCATAAAACAAAGAATTGATAAAAAGTCGACATAGCTTTGAGTTGTTTTTAATTTAAAAATTAAATAGCATTAAAACGAATATGAATAAAACAAAATACAATTGTTGTGCAACACGAAAGAAACAAAAACAAAAAGCTATGCAAATTATATGAAATTAAGCAAAAAGATTAATGATAAATGATTAATGAAATACATATATCAAAACACGATCATAAATTATGTAATTTTCGACTAGAAAACAAATTTAATCAAACGTTGCGCGTTTTTTCAGAAAAAGTTAAAAAAAAACTATTCGATTTCTAATTCTAATTGCATTAAGCTAAATAAAAAATCGTAAGAAAGTTAAAGAAGAAGATCGTATAGCTATATACTAACTAAACACACATACAATATAATATACATATACATATTCATATTTGGAAAATACGATAAAATGTTGAGTTACAAGAAAATTTCAAAGAAAAACAAAGCAAAAAACATAATTATTGCTAATGCTAAACACACAAAAACAACAACAAAAGCAGCATTAGATATATTACAAAAAAACAAAAACAACACGTAATTCTATTTCTTAGTTTTTCCCCCCTACTCTACTTTTTAAGTTTTTGTACATAGTTGAAAAACAGAAAAAAAAAAACAAAACGGAAAATGACATTTCGAAAAAGTTGCCCGGAAATTCGTGAAAAGTTTCATTGGAAGCCCTCTGCTATGCTTCGAAGATGAATTACTTTCTTTTCGATTTTTACGCACGTTTCGAAGGTTCGAATAAAAATTACAAAAAACCCAAAAGAACAATAAAAAAAATTGGAAACATAAAATAAAAAACAAAAAAAAAAAAAAACAACAAAATACAAAAAAGTTTGTTTTGCATCTCTTTTTCTCTATTTGCCAGCCATTTCAATTGTTTATGTGGTGCCCAATCCAATCGAGGTAGCTCGTGACACGCGTGAAGATGCTCGGGAAGCCAATCTCACAGCCCGTGGCGAGGCCAAAGGAGGTGACCCCGATCAGATAGTTGTTGCCGTCCTCCTTGTAGATCAGCGGGCCACCGGAGTCGCCCTGGCAGGTGGACTTGCCGCTGCTGGTGCTCATGCAGAGCATCTTCTCGGAGAGCGAGCCGCCCCAGTACAGCTTGCAGCGTGCCTGTGGCATCACGGGCATTGCCACGAAGCGCAGCGTGGGCGACGTCGAGTTGGCGCTATCGCTGTCCCTGCCCCAGCCGGAGGCATAGGCCGTCATCTGCTCGTAGCTGGAGTAGCTGCCGTTCAATCCTCTGGGCAGCTCAGCCGCCCTCACTCGATCCGTGAACTCCACCGCCAGAGGCAGCTGCACCAGCGCAATGTCATTGGCCACCGTGCTGACCGTCCAGTTGGCATGCACGATCATGTGCGACTTGTGCACCTGATAGCGCCGCTGGCCTGGCTCCAGCTCATTCGTTATGTTGAGTGCACCCAGGTAGGCAGTGGCATTCACTGCCCCATCCAGGCAGTGGGCGGCTGTCAGAATCCAGCGATGGCTGATCAAGGTGCCGCCACACCAGGTGCTGCTGTTGCCAAACGAAACGTTGAAGCCCACCTGGTATGGGAATTGCCCAACTGCAGCGAGCTCTCCATTCGTAATCCGATTTCTCGCCGTAAACAACTCCACCTGAGCCACACAGAGTGCTGAGAATATTATTAAGGCAGTTAACTTCATCATTCAAACTCAATTAAGTTATTAATAACAATGTCTTTGATCATGCTATTTTTATAGAAATCTACGTCGCAATTAGCTCAAGTATCGCACTAACAATCTACCCTTAAAACTTGAGAACCTTCACCTGATAATAATCATACATATATACATATAAATACACATTTATGTACATATATATCTAATCCTACAAAGGAGCATATGAGTATGGTATTAACATCCAAGTATCACGCTCTTAAATAGATTCACTACTATCAACAACCATAGTTATAGCCCGATTATCATTTATTTATTATTATTTATATACGAATTCCAGTGGAAGTCTATTTGTTGACCACACCGCTGTGCTCCTCGATCCAGTCCAGGTAGGAGGTGATTCTGGTGAAGACAGCTGGGAAGTTCTTCTCACAGCCCAGAGACAGACCGAAGGAGGTGGCACCGATCAGATAGTTGATGTCGCCTTCCTTGTGGACCAGAGGACCGCCGGAGTCACCGCTGCAGGTGGACTTGCCGCCCTTGGTGCTCATGCAGATGACGTTGTCGGTGATGAGGCCCATCCAGTACTTGTTGCAGCTGCTCGAGCTCATGATGGGCTGCTCCACGTAGCGCAGCACGGGCGAGACAGAGTTCGACTTGTCGCTGTCCAGACCCCAGCCAGAGGCGATGGCCAGCTCATCAGCATAGGTGGAGTAGCGGCCGTCCTTCTTGGGCAGCGTGGCGGCTCTGACGCGGTCGTTGAACTCCAGCTCAGCGGGCAGCTTGATCAGGGAAATGTCGTTGACAACCATCTTGGGATCCCAGTGCTCGTGCACAATGATGGCGTTCTTCTCCACATGGATGCGGTGCTGTCCGGGCTCCTCCTCCTTGATCTTGGTGGCGCCCACATAGACGGTCACCGAATCAGCAGAGTCTGTGCAATGGGCAGCGGTCAAGACCCAGCGTTTGGAGATCAGGGTGCCGCCGCACCAGGCGCCAGATTCGCCAATAGCAATGCTCAATCCCACCTGGTAGGGGAACTGACCCACGCGAGCCACCTCGCCATGGGTGATGCGACCCTCCATGGGGGCAGCAGCAGCGGTAGCCAAAAGAGCAGTCAATGCAATGAATAGCTTCATGATTCCTATCGGAGCTAACTTCTGATTCGGACAGAGCTGGAGCAGTCCATTATATAGCCCAACAATCATTGTCTTGGCACACGCAATATCTTATCACAGTATCTGCTCACACGGGGACTCTCGAGAGGTTCAGATAAGGGCGCGTGCGCTGCGTCTTCCATTATATGAATTGTCCTGATATATGTATGTATTGAACAAAGAAGTCTGAATTATCGAATCACTAATTAAACTGATTAGTCTCAATGATTTCTATAGAAACTCATTCAATTAAATTGAAACGGTTTTTGTCTATATTTTCATTTCTGATTTATATATTCATTATTCAGGCTGAATGAAGCTCTTACTACCAATCTCTTATAAAAACAAAAATAATAATATTTTTTTTAAAGTGTACTACTACGTAATACCACGTTCCTACAGTCTCAAGAGCCCATTCAATAAAGTCGCAGAGAAAGCACTTCAGACAGTGACGCTTCAATTCAACAGGAAGTGTGGGTGCTGTCTGATCGACTAACATCAGAATCAAACGGGTGCATTAGTATTAAAGGAAACTTACAGTTACTTTTGTTGAAGAGTTTATGAAAAAAGTCGCATCATAAAGTATTTATAACATTATCTAAAAGAGATAGAACGGCAGAATCGAGTGGTTATTACTTAACTAGAGCTAAACGATTATATTTAGAGGTGGCTTGTCGATACATTTGGACAGAGATTTTTCGAGAAATACTTATACTTAATAAGCATGCCATAGACGAATCAAGCGAGCGCAAAAAATCTGCTTGGCCAACATAAGGGTTAAGGCTAAACTATTTCATATAGTATAACGACAGAGATTTCCGCAGACTGTTGGATTTATCAGCGATTTTTCGACAAACTTTTTTCATTTCGGTATTGAGTTTTGATAATGTTATAAATATTGGATGATCAGAAGACCAACACTTATAGTATTATCAAAAATAAATGGATTTTCCATAGTTTTTTTTTTTTTTTTTTTTTTTTTTTTTTTTTTGGTAGGTAGACCTTCACAATATTATCAAAATGGATTTCCCGCCGACAATTGTTAACAGACATTTTGAAGCCTCAACGTATTTGATCATTAAACTTAGATAGCTCAATGAAACATAATCAAAAAACTTTTTAGTCATACTTACTATGTATATATAATATATTTACTATATAAAAAATTCACTTGAGCTTTTCTTTGATACAAATTTCTTTTCGTTTTTCTATTCTATTGTAAGTTTAGGAAGAAGCAAACCATACTACTGTATGTGCTGTAAATAACGCTAAATCTGATAATTTAATAAATAAATATCATTTTAAAAAATAGATAAGTTTAGGCTTCATACCTAGAAAGTGTACTATATCTATAGATAATACGCTCCTGCATAAATTATTTTCGATGGAAAATTTTAAATACAATTTGAGTTTATTTAGAATGTTAGTGTTAGAATAGATAGTGCGTGAATGGCTAAAAAGTTGGATTGATGACGACGTAGAATCGCAATAAATATAAAAATATTTATACAACATATATAATATATATACATATATACAAATCAAGTTATCAATACTTATAGGAAAAGATACGCAGCTGTTGTTTCTATTTTATTTTATTTATTTTTTTTGGCAAATAATCCTATCTAAAGTTTACAAAAAGGCAAACAAAATTTTAATTTAATTGATAAGCCAGACAGACCTACTAAAGACACTCGAACAGGTGCTCTAACCCTAATTTTGCAGACGTCATTCCCGATGGAGCGAAACTGTATAAAAGGGGCAGCTCGAACTGACCCGGATTATAGTCTTCATTGAAGTCAACATGAAGGTGCTCGTCGTATTCGCTCTGGCTGTGGCCTACGCCTCGGGATCGGCACTGCGTGCTCCCTATGAAGTGAACGTGGAGCCCGAGCTCCGCAATGTCTACGTACCCGCTGTGGAGGGACTTGATGGTCGCATCACCAATGGACGCGACGCCAGCCCTGATCAGTTCCCCTACCAGGCTGGTCTTTCTCTGAGAATCGGCAACTCCGCCGCCTGGTGCGGTGGCTCCGTGATCGGACATGAATGGATCCTGACTGCCGCTCACTGCACCGATGGGTAAGTTGAAGCTGTTTTGCCAACTGATCCTGAGCTAATTCTATTTTGCTTCTTCATCCATTTATACAGTGTTGACTCCATCGATGTTCATTTGGGCAGCGTCATCCGCTCTAGCCCCAAGGTCAAGCACTCCGTAAGCAGGGACCGCATTATCATTCATGAGGGCTGGAATCCCAAGACTCTGTTGAACGACATCTCCCTCATCCGCATTCCGTACACCGAATTCAGCGACGCTATCCGTGCCGTCGATCTGCCCCGTCGGGAGTCCCACTACTCCACTTATGTCAATGATGAGGCCGTTGCTTCCGGCTGGGGCCGCACCTCCGACTCCTCCAACGCTGTGGCTTCTCGCCTGCAGTACGCCGACATGAGAATCATCTCAAACGATGCTTGCAGGAAGACCTACCCTCTGAACGTCCGTGCCTCCAACATCTGTGTGTCCACCCCAGCCGCCGTCTCCACCTGCAACGGTGACTCCGGCGGCCCATTGGTCCTGAAGCACAACAAGGAACAAGTTGGTCTGACCTCCTTCGGTTCTTCCGCCGGTTGCGAGAAGGAGCTGCCAGCTGCCTTCACCCGTGTGACCAGCTACCTGGACTGGATCAAGGACAAGACTGGCATCTCCCGCTAAGCTGTAAAATTAAACGAGTGCCTTTACTTTAGGTGCTTGACATTTTCATCAAATTAAAGAATAATAGAAAAAACGAAAAATATAATATCGAAAGATTACTTTTTATCAATATTCGACTAGATAGTTGCTGCTCTTAGGGAAATCATACGAGCCAACAAATTGGAGTAGAATAAGTTGACAGATTCACCGGGTTTCTCCTTCGGCTGCATTCTACGCTTCCAAAGAATTTCCTTATTAAACTAGACCATAATTTCCCAAATTCATATATTTTTATCATTTTTTTTATTGTTTGTTTTTGCTCTTCTTTTGTTGTTGTTATTCTTTAGTTTCTTTCACATTGAAACAGTTAAATATATCATTCTCCTTTTTTTTTGCATTTTATATCATAATTTGACTTTAAAGTTTAGTTTAGGCTTTACTCGGCTTTTATATATATATATATATATATATATATATATATTTATATCCTCAATATATCATCAATAAGTTTCATACATTTTTGTTTTGTTTTTTTTCTTCATTTTAATAAACATTTGGAATGCATTTTATATAATTTAAATTTAACAATATACATAAATTTGATTTGCGATTTAGTGGCATCGTTTTGTTGTTGTTGTTGTAATAGTTATTTATATAAACGTTATCATTAAAAATTGGAGAGACTTATGCACAGTTTAACATTAGAATTATTATTATTATTAAATACACATACATAGTTATACAGAATAAAAAAGTTACAGTTTAATGGTCTTTATCAATCGAATGTCAATTAGGCATAACTTTTCATTGTTGTAGACACGAATATTGCATAAAAATAACAATTATAAAAACCTTTATATAAGATATATTTTCTCTTTTCATTTCTTTCTTTACTTTACTTTTGTATAATTTGTTGATTTTTCGATCTAAGTGTGTGTGTGTGATTGTGAGTGTAAACGCAGGCAATGCATATATTTAAATTTGTTGTAGTTTAGTTAGTTAGGATTACTAATTTTAATTTACAGTTTCTCGGCATGGGCCAATTAGAATACAAATACAAGTAGACCCGTCCTTTATGTATAGTCTACTCCAATTATGTGGACCTTAGGTCTCCAATTGGAGTTTATGTATGTGTACGTGTATGTGTATGTGTGTATGTGCTTTCGCCTAGCTAAAAATACATACGAAACAGCACTAAACTAGCAAAAGTGATTATAATACAAAAGCAAACGAACAAATAAGTACACGAGTGAGTGGAGGTGGTGTTCCAAGTAGTCGCAATGCGGTTTCCCTGTTGCTGCTGCTGCTGCCGTTGATGTTGATGTCGATGTGGATGTGGATGTTGCTGATCATCTAGTTGTCGTAGTGATGTTGTGTGTCGTCGTTGTTGCTGTTCCTCCTCATATAACTGGTGAACCGTTTGCCACAGCCAAACAGTATCAGCCACGTTGCCAACGCCGTCGCACACAGGACCAGTGTTATTAATCAACTCCAGCAAATCCTTGGCTTCCCTCAATGGCCTTGATCAGTTTATCTTTGAGCTGCAGGTAGCCCTCGTAGGGTGGCAGGTCCAGACGATTGAAGCTAAATGGATGCAGCAAGCATTTCAAATCAATTCGAATTACTAGAAAAGCCAGACTCTTACCAGGTATGCGCACGTGGAAAGTTGTTGGGTGTGCCCCATTTCTCAATGGTAAACATCTGTGGACCATTCGATCCGTAAAGCTCCTTGAAACCGTTCATGGGCACACGCGATGTGCCCGTGACGAACTGCAAGAGACGCGAGCGCATTTCGTTGGAGAATGATAAGACGGCACGCCAGAACCATTGAATGATGATGTGGTTCATATGATAATCGCCCTTGTATAGCGTATTCTCACGCCAATCCTTCACATCGATGTTCTGTATGCCGCACATTAACAGCTCCAGTTCGTGTTCATCAAATATTTTGATTAGATTCAGTGGTATGATAGAACCAAAACCATCCAAAAATGCTGTCATTTGGTCCTTAACACGCGCCACAAAGCGCCACTCGATGACAAGCCTAGAAGATGACGATGTAAGTATACAAATATATGTTTGATGGATTCTATTGTTACTTACTTAATGTATTCATCTTTATTTTCGTTGGACACTTCAATGTTGGCGCCGCCTGTCTTGAGCTCGTGCTGACTCTTTTGGCCAAACACATCTTCGTCCAGGCAGAAGGTGAGCTCCAGAATGCGCGGATCATTCTCCTTGATCCACATCAATGAGTTATAGTATTCAGTGTCAACCGATTCCATATCCTTCAAATCTATGGACTTTTGC